TGTTACATGTATGTAATGGATATAATATTGAGCAAAACATTTAGAAGATAACCTATCACAAAAGATTCCTTGCTATTTGAGGACGTTTCTGTACAGCTTGGGCTTCTCAAGTCTTGGATCCCTTGGATTAGCTCTAATAATATTTTGCTGAATAAAATTGCACACTTCATCGTGTTTGAAAATACATACAATATGCATTCATATTTTTTAATTGAAGCTTTGAAGTTTCTCTCCAATTAATCATGACTGGGAGTACACTTAAGGTAGGACCGGTCCATAGGTATACATTTTCTTTGCTGTGTTGACGAATTGTATTGATGATTGGGATGGTTTAATCATAATAAATAAGTATTAGCTTAAATATTACCAATGCATTCGTTTAATTATTTATAAACTGAAAAGTAATATTTATGTGAGAAAATGAGGGGTTTTCATTTTTGTTGGAATTCGTGTATTTTAAACATATGAATCTCAGTCTTTTATGATTTCCCAAACATAAATATATAGAAAAAAATATCTGAAAAAAATCACTTCCTATTGGATGGTGTTTTTTAAAAAGTTTTTTTTTTGAATTTTTTGTGTTTCAAAAAGAAAGAAAGAAATATTCAAAATCAGTTTTGTAATTAAGCTTGCATTTAGTTGGAAAAAAATATGATAGTAACACTCGTCGTTTAAAAAATGAACCAAAAACTTTTTATTAATCAGTTATTTGCATAGCAGATAAATATGTTTGAATTGTATGTTATGAAAGATAACTCCTGTTGATCATGTATAGTGTATAGTTCTCTTAGTGTCATCACCATTTCCATATGACACATTTAATAAAAAATTGAATTTACCAGTCCCGAATATTTTACTGCAGACACAACAGAGTTTTAATATCCTTGACAAGGAGATGTAAGGAAAAAAATTCTGCACTTTCTTACATAGGAAAAGTATTTTTTAATAGAAGATTCATTCTTAATTAAGAATTGAATTCATATTTTTGGATGTCTTCGGTCCTATAACACAGCTGGCCGTGCCGACAAATTGAATACCGCGCGTTAGCGCGGTATGATAATGTGTAGGCAGGGCCAGGTGTGTTATAGGACCGAAGACATCCAAAAATATGAATTCAATGCTTATATTTACATTCTCTAATTTTCCTTTTTCATAATTTCTTATTTCGTTAATCTTAAATGTAAATTTAGCGCCCTTCAAAACTGCCGTGATTAATAGATTAAGAGCCGTTTGTGACGTCAAATGACGTTAAATGACGTTGCAAAGTTAAATAACGCAAACAAACATTGCGAGGAAAAAAAGTGACAAATATATTCTTAATGCACATTACGTTAATTCTTTCGTTAATTTCTCAGGGTTGTAGTTTTTTCATTAAATTGAAATAAAACATTTTACATTTTGGTGTTCCTAGATTATTGAAAATGCATGTAGCTCCTACTGTGTATTCTAACGTGCGGTGACAAGGTTTCGCGTGTGTTATAGAAATTTGAACGTCGTGGATTTCTAATGGATTTGATAAGGAAAATTACACTGAATGTAAACATATACATTTAAATCTTATACGTGAAAAGAAGCAAAAACTTGTTGTGGCCTTCACCTCGGCATTTTGATATATTGACGATATACTGTTAATTCCTAATTGTATTTTCCCTTCTTATTTCGATGCAATATATCCTGGCAGGATTAAGTTAAATGATACCACAGAGTCTGAAACATCTTTTTTAAAATATTTGGAAATTTAAATTTTGCACAACTGTTAAGGCTTGCTATGAGAAATCAACGGAAAATAGAAATGCAAAAACGGGTATTGTTTTTAAAAATGAATTTATTTTTATTCAGCTCTTTTAATATCACAGAACTTAAATAATTATGGAAAAAGCATAGTATTACCTACGCTTTACTGCATGAAGTATGGTCCCATCGATGGACAATCACGAGATCAATGCATAGTATGTATACTGAATATAGATCATTAACAAATTTCAATATCGCTAGGGCATACCTTATTTGAAATTAAAACTGCAAGCTATTAATTTTTTCTGTATACTTTGTGCTTTCTGGAAAGTGCTGCTGCTTTGAATAGAATTCACGTTTTCATTATTAAATTTTCAGGTTTTAATATTTAAAATTTCAAGAAAATAGGCCCAGGTCGAATTATGTTTGACTTTTAGCAAATATTTTATGTACTTATAAAGTCACCCTCTTGATTTAAAGAAAGCAGCAGCACTTTTCAAGTTGATGAATATATCCTTTATTTATATTCAGAAAATGATTTAGGTTTATTTAGTGTATGCCCTTGCAGGAGAACAATTTAATGAGGCACCTCGATGTAAAAATATACCAAACCAGAACATAAAAACACGACACAATTATTTAAATACATTCTCAAGATAGTTAATGAATAATCGAACTAAACAAATGGAATACGTTGGTATTAATAGCGTATTTAACGCCTGTAAATACGCGGGTATGTGTAGGCAGCACATGAGTCAGAATTCGGCGAATTAACACTTTTTAAATAAAATGTAACACTAATAAATCGGAAAAGTCATGGATAAATCTTTTGATATCATTATGCATTCTATAGACCTCAGTGAGACATATACTACAAGAGGCACTACACCACGACTTCACCACGTGACGTCTATAATTAGAAAAAAATGCCTTAATGAAAAAGTGGAAAGATCAACACTACCCCGGGGATAATTAATTTCAATTTGTAGTCATAGTTATGTAAAAACATCTTTGTACCATGAAAAGTTCTGCTAGAATCCTACTGTCCTATCAGAGAAATAATTATTCAACACTTTCGGAGGAAACCTTCCCAAAATTTTTTACATTTGTCCATAATATCGAGAAAAAAAATGCATCAATTCCCGTAAACCATACGATTCTAGCAGCACTTTCCAAAAACAATAGAATAAGAACTTAAGCTAGAAACAAAAATTAAGTTCAAAGTATGCGGCGTAGTGTTGAACTTTTGCATTTTTTTTGACAGAGGAAAAGCTGATCGGCCAGTAAACACCCTTTCTGCTTTTATTTTACGAAGAAACTGTAGAGTTATATTAGCATACCCTATTCATAAGCTTTATTCCCACATGAATAACACATGATATTGATTCAAAATGCTTTTAAACTCCGATTTCTTGTGTTTGTTTATATGAAGACTCTTTACATTTCACTTTCATTCTGCTACTGCATGATCAACAGTAATGACGTCACGGGTTGGGTATTAAACCCCTGTAATAAATACAGAGACCCAGAAAGGACAAAAGTCCATTTATATAATTCCTCTGCATATTTTGATCCAATTTACGACCTCAAATCAATCTTAGATATCGATTTTAAGAAATTGTTATCTCTGAAACGTCACGTCATATAACTTACTATGACGTCATATCATACAGGTCAGTTGAATTTTTGGTTGTAACCTTAACATACCTGCGTAACATTCTGTTTTATAATAAAACGAAGTTTTCATTGTTAAAATATTCCTCAATCTGCCTCTCACAGCACATGAAATACGCCATCTTTACCAAAATGATGTCATGATTGACAAGTTCATCGAGATCAGGGATTTGTTTATAACCAGATGTATGGGATTTAAATAGCAACTTTTTAAAATGCATTGATAAGTTTTATTGTTGTTTTTTATGCTAATGCAGTTTAAAGTTATAAATAATTTCATTTTCTGGTATTATGAGGAATACATAAAGTCATATTTTAGTGTGACGTCACAGTAAACTTTTTCCGTAAAAATTAGGCCCCGCCTCCTTATTTCAGCCTTTGCAATGCTGCGATGTGCATTGAAGAGCGGAAAAAATTCTAAATTTTTCCGCATAAGTAGAATTTTAGCAAGGATTTAATTTTTGCTTTATTAGCGAGGGTCCTGGGGGTCGCTAAAATTGAATATCGCTAAAAGTTAATTGCATTTTATTTGCTTCTTTAGTTAGCATTTTAAAGTCTCTAAAATTACCTCTCGCTAAAAATAAATTACCGATTTTTAAGAAGAAATCGCTAAATTTGCGACTAGCTAAAATTTCTACTTATACGGTATTCGTTTTTTTTATATTATATGATTGATCTTAATGAACTATGATTTTTTTTTCAACTTTAATCTTTGATAAAAATTAATAATAAAATTCAATGTGTAGAAAGAAATATGTAGTGCCGCTGATGTAAAATATTTTTCCTTCATGAAATTAAGAATGAAGAACATAATCAATTGAATCAGTTTTTGTATAGAAGAATAATGGATAATATTTGATTACCCATTCAAAATATTGCATGCATGGAAAAAGATATATATTTTAAAAATACAAGCTTTTAACACAATGAAACCTGTTTTATCCAACATGTACATGGAGACAGATTACAAATGTATGTGACGGAATAAACATGTTGGAGAATTGCATTGTGTAAAGACTATGCTCATTCCTTAAAAAAAATAATAATTCAGTGACGGAATTCACAGTAAGGATGATTGTACAGGTGTCGGATTATTCAGGTTCCACTGTGATATCTTTAACAATAAAGCAATCTTTATATTAATTATCCGTCCAGGCATCCTCATTTATCAGCGTTTGTAAAAAAGAACGAAATATCTCTACTTTCACAAATTTATTACAACACATATAATGTACATCTTCTACTAAATACATTGAAGAAAAGAAAACTAATTGCTTATTGTTTTAAAGAAAAGCCCCCAACCTTTTTTATAATCGAAAACATATTTGTTTACAAATTTTCTAACTTGATGTCAATCGTTATTTTAAAAAAAGAAACCCGTGATAATGATTCATTTAAAATCGTCTCTAGTATCATAAATGGTGTGCCTGAGGGGTTGTCCTTCATCTGTAAACATGTAAGAAAATAAAATAAAATAATGCTTGACAGAAATAAGAGCATACTTTTCTAATAGAAATCTCCAATAAACATTAAAACTTTTCACGGAAATACAAAAAGAAAAGTAATGCTAATTGAGATTAATTGAGATTTACCTACTGACGTTTCACCAACATCATAGTCCTCACTATTCTGGAATCAATCGTTACTGCAGGATACCACGGTCTCTTCCACTTTGCCGGGTACCATGGAGCATTAAGGAAGGTGTAGGTACAGGCATTAAACCACCAGCCCCCTCTAGTCTCACTGAGAGTGGCGCAGTTTATATCATATTTGTCGTTATCCCTGTCTCGTGTTGTAAAGTACATACCAGACAGTTTTCTTTTAGAACTCCCAGGATTTATCATTCTTTCTCCTGCAGAATTAGAGAAAATATATAACAGAGATAATGATTACTACATGTAATAATTTATTTACATCATAATAATATCATTCTTAATTTTATTTATTGGTTCCCTGTGTTTTGATTTGAGGAGAACAACTTCAAGTAAAAATTTACTGATCGATACATTTTTCAATCAGTACTACTTCCTAGACAGCAGGAATGGGGTAATTTAATAAAGTAATTGTAATTTAGTGTAATTAATTACATTTTTCTAAGTAATTGGAAGTAATTTGTATATGAGCGAGCCTTCAATTGCAAGTAATTGAATGTATTTAAAGACATTTCACAAAAGGTCATGTATTTTCAATTACTTTTCAATTACATTTCAATTACTTTTTTTTTCAAAATGAAAGTTTATATTTAAAAAAGGTGTCTTATACTGATACATAGTTTTATACTGGTGGGTTTATATGACTTATTCCCATGTTTTTTTTTAAATCTCAGTTATCCCTATTCCCACTTATTATCAGCAATTAGACTAACTTTTTGATTTACCGGTATTCTATTCATTTTAAGATAGAAAATAATGAATGGAATTATGATAGATATCATTTATTTCCTTAAAAAAATGGATTTGAGAAAGAAACAAAAAAGATCTTGCCAAACACCATACTGGTGTAGCATGGGCTTGTGTTTGTACAATAAATAATTGTCTCATAATGTTTAATTTGTTTATACAGTGTGTAACACTCATTATAAGGTAAAGGTCTAATTTTGACTAGGTGTGAACCCCTATCACACCCAAGAACAACAACACTGAATGAAAGTTCGAATTCGATTGCTATAAAAAAAATCTTATTAATTTTTTTTTTTTATAAAAATAAAACTAGAAGTAATTGAAATATATTTAATTACATTTGTCAAAGTAATTGAAAGTAATTAATTACATTTGAAAAATTCAATGTATTTGTAATTGTAAGTAATTGACATATTTATCAATGTATTTGAAAGTAATTAATTACATTTCAAAGTAATTGACCCCAAGCCTGCTAGACAGAACTTTTAAACTACATGTATTATAAAATACCTAACTGTAACCTCAAGTCTATTTTAGCTAAATTATAGATACTTAAAATGAATTAAAACAAAACTAGCGACAAATAGGACTGACGGAATAATGTATTCCTACGTTGCACAGAAACAATGGATGGTATGGATGTCTCAAAGAGAAACAATTTAACACCTTCGTAATTGGAATTATAAGAACTAAACGTTCTTTTTTTTCAGAATTTATTGATATGTAAAATTTGCCTTTTTACTCACAACTTTACATAAAAATTATCAGTTTGTGAGTAAAAGGGCAGTGCAAGTATGTTAAAGCTACAACCAAATATTCCATAACTATCGATCAGTATTTAGCAGAGTGAAAATGAAACAGAATTCACGAGAATTCATGTAAACAAACATATATTGGAGTTTAAAAGCATTTATCATGAATATCATGTCTGAATCATGCAGAAATAAAGCTTATGAATAAGGAATGCTTATACATGTCCAGTATTTTTTCGTATAATGAAACAGGCAATCCCTCCTCCGTTGTTCTTAACAAAATAGATTCAACAGTTCAACACTACGCTGCATATTTGGAATTTTTTATTTTGTTTCTTTCGAAAGTTCTTATTCTACAGTTTTTTTGTTTGTTTGTTTGTTATTTTGTTTTGTTTTTTTTTTATTATTATTTATTTTTTTTTGCTAGATTCTTATGTTTTTTTTTTCGATAATATGTACAAAATCTTTAAAAAATTGTGCAAGTTGCATCCGAAAATGTTTGATAATTATTTATTGTGATAGAAAAGGGTTTTAGCAGCATATTTCATGGTACAGCAATTATTTTACATAACTGTCAACTTCTTTTTCCGTAATAGTTAAACAGTTATTTATGAAACATTATCAGAAAAATCAAGCGGAATAAAAATGGGGGAGCAATTGTAGTTACTGTTTGTTAAAGATAATTTAGCACATTTTTTTATATGTTACATATATAATTTACTTTTTCTTTTTAGCTATTTGACAATGACCACTTCAATGATTGTGGAATTCGTGAACTTTACCTACGGTGTACAAATGATATCCTGAAATAATCAACTATTAAATTAGCTTAGAATCAAGGGAATATCAGATAAAAACGTATAATTATGTGTCCCTTTTTTCAACAACGTGATAATATTTCAATGCAAAGAATTAAATGATGGTATACGTGATTTTAACCCCTCTTTAGGACAATAACATGAATACACCTACCTAAGGTTCCCGTGGCAGGTCCTGCAAGAAATAGTTTATATTTCGCTCTTTCGTCAGAGATAGAGAATGTGTCGTACATTTCATACAGTGTTGTACCATTATGAAGAGTGATGGACACATAAAGGGATGAGTTCCGCTCTTTTGTTAATTGATGGATTATGTCATTTCCTGTATTAAGATACATTTTAAATCAGCTGAAAATCCATTGAAATACAATGAATTCTATTTAAGATATAAATATATCGTGATAAAAAATCAAATCATTTTCCTCGGTTATAGATGTTGGTGCTAAATTTAATCTTATTAAGACGTTGCCACTGATAGATTTTTTCTCTTTTTTTCTTATCATTTTTAAGTAATCGATTCATGACATGTGAATATCGTAGAACACATATTACCTTGTCTTAAATTCAGATCTTTATTACGCTCTAATTTTTTAAACTATCAGTTCCTATTTTGAATACATTTTCACTTACCACCCCAAACATTCTGTTCCGGGTAACCAAAACCATTTTTGTATTCCGTCCAGGTCCTGTTAAATCTAACGGATCCGTCTACGCGTTTCTGGATGGCCTTTGCAAATTAACATAAAAAACAATTCAATTTCTTGTTTCGAACAATCATGAGAACTATATGTTATGATAGAAACTCAAAATATTCAAATTTATTTTATACCTAATGTGTATCACTTAATATTACTGTTTATTTAAAGCAATTGTTTGACCCGTGATCCGACTTTTCAGATCATCACACTGCGGTTTTCTAAATCCTTATCACATCTTTCTAAAACTGATGACGTAATACGCATAGGCATGACACAATTTTTCTTGCGCATCAAAAAGTCTCTTGTAATTATCTTTTTTATTGATAATTCTTACACTATTGATCAATAAAGTTATATTTTGCCATATTAAACTATTTATAATGGAGTAATAAATTTATCATTATAACAGTAACTTGATCCGAAGAGCCGCTTCGCGTCTCATTTGATCTGATGATCCGCGCCTGTGATCGACGTGATACGACTCTTCGGATCAAAAACAATGCAAGTTATATTATGTACTTTTAATTAAGGAAAAACCTACCGTCCACCCTCCTTCCATAGTAGTCATATCACAGTAAACACGGACAGGACTGGTCATGGTGCCATAGGGGTATATTTCATATACCCCTGAATTAATGTATCCATCTGATTGAAGATCCTTACAGTCTACAGGAATAACTAAAGCAGAAAAAAATACAATCTTTCATCATAACTAAAAAGAATCGGGGATTATATAATGTATATATACAAGTAATTAGAGTATACATATAATATCTACAGTACCGACCAGACCCAACCTGACACCAAAGCAGTCCCAGAAAGCAGTCCCCGGGACTGCTTTGGGACCGCTCTGGGACTGCTCTGGGACCGCTGTGGGACTGCTCTGGGACCGCTATGAAAAGCAGTCCCAGCAGTCCCAGCTGCCCCTGGGACTGCTTTCTGGGACCGCTTTGTTCACTCATGTGTGACAAAGGTTCTGAGTGACATGATAGCTCCGCCCCCTTGTGTATTCTGAATTTGCAGGCTCCCTGTTGTTTTGTTTACTTGCAGCAGAGAGGAGTTTAAACTGTTTAATAAGCAAGGATTTCTTATAATCTTTTAATACCTTGAGTTTACATGTATTATAGTTAATTTATAGTTTTAGGGACTGTATATTTACACAAATGTAATATAAAAAAAATTTTAAAATAAAATTGTTCAATAAGAAAGTCAGGAGGAGATTTTTATTTCTAAAATATATAAAACTTCAGGCTCATGAGAAAAAATATTTACATGTAGATTTATTTTATTAGTAAATCTAAAATTAAATACTCAAAATTTGCATTTGGCACTATTTAAAAAATCATTACATTTGGATATAAGATATTTTAATTGATAAGGCAACACTTTTTACAAGCACCACGCTGAAAGAGTATTCCATGCAACCCTCAAATAAAAATCTAACAGTTTATTTTATGACATGAAATAAAATTATGCCACCATTCTTCCGTAACATAAGCAATGTGAACAATTATACGGGAATTTACATTTATAAATAAATTATTAAAAGAGTAAATAAAAAAAAATAAATAAAATAACAGTTGAAAATACCGGGAATTGTGATTTATTTCTTTTTTGTTTTGCTTTTGTTTACCAGCTTGCCGATAAAGTGTTTAAATAAAATGGTATAAACACCTGCGGTTTCAATCGCCTTTGGGCAGAAAATCAATCATGCATGTTATTTGGGTACACTATCAGTGTTACACATCATTAAACATGCTGCTGAATTAACAATGACCCTAATTTCAATCTATGTAAAAAATGTAATGCAAAAAAAGATAAATGAAATGTGTATAAATTTCTTTCAAGATTGATTAATGTTGAACATAATCTTAGGATTCTATACTGGTCACTAATACAATCTACAAATAAAACAAAAAATTTTAAACTAACATGTCAGTAAAGAATAATCAATACTGAAAAATATTACTTGGCAAAATTAGCAACGAATTTTTCAAAAGCCCTAATACTTAATAAAAAAAAATGCCTTAAGCGTATCCCGATAGTATTGAAATCGGCCATGATCTATTTATAATGATTAGATCTATTTAAAACTAATTCTGGTGAAATATAATTAATTCAATTTTAATTTTCTGTATAGAAAATAAATATGGGAGCCAGTATCAATCACAAAAACCCCCAAGATAATTGTGATTAAATATTCATGTTCAGTGTAATTCATTTATGTAGGTGTGTAAGCTTTCTTCCTTCAATAAATATTATTTCAAATTGTTTCAAATCTATGCAGTACTGCTCATACATGTAAATGACCTTCGCATTGTAAGGATTCCTGGCATACTGCTCAACAAAAATTCAGCTGCCTTTTATAGTTCCATTGTTTATTGGAAATCTCATTTCTGAGTTAGCCCCGCCCATTAAATTAATAAACCCCGCCCACTGGGACTGCTTTCTGGGACCGCTGGGACTGCTGGGACCGCTGTGGGACTGCTCTGGGACCGCCGTGGGACTGCTCTGGGACCGCTGTGGGACTGCTTTAGCAGTCCCAGAAAGCAGTCCCCGGGACTGCTCTGGGACTGCTTTGTGTCAGGTTGGGTCTGGTCGGTACTGTACATTAAATAAAAGGTTAAATGTCGAAACTAAATTTTAAAGCACATGCACAATGCAGATTATGTTAAACTGTTCCTAATTAATTAAAATCATTTTTCTAATTGCTATAAAATCTCTGATCTATTATATGATTAAAAGTATTTTTAAGCTAAATAGAATTATTTCCAATTCTCTGTTGATAATACAAACATAATTTTATATCTTATTGAAAGGAATGTTTAAGAAAATTACATTTGTAGATCATAGATCAACCATTTGGGAAAACGTTGATGTAAGATGTAGTAAAATTATTGGGAAAGTAAGTATTTCTTTTGTGATTATTTTGTCATTTACAAGCTATAGTTGTCCTATAGATAAAAATGAATACATTACCGCTAAGCTAAAATGAATATTATTCCTGGAAACTTTATCTCTTGTATTTCACAAGTATATCTTATGAAATACTAAAAGAAAAGAAAAGAAAAATAGTGGAATCACAAAAAATAAGTACATCAATCCAAAACTAATAGGTTATTCAAATAGGATAATAGGAGAAAAATCAGCAAAGAAACAAGAGCACTACTTAGAATAAATAATGTTGAAAATACAATTGTTTATACCACATTGAACAGTAGTGTCATTGAAAATATATCTTGCATATAAATATTCATATACCTCTCAGACCTAAAAGTAATATGATCAAAGCCAAAGAAACGTTTTAAATGATTTGTGGTTGATTTTAGACAGAGGAAGTCGCCGGACCGGCCCAGTGGTAAGAGCGTCTGCTTTAGAGTCATGGAGTAAGGAGCTGATCTTTACGTCGCTGGTTCGATTCCTCCTGTTGACATTGAGACGGTTCCTTAGGATGAGACCTTGTAAATCGAGGTCCCATGTCAAGATCCATCAATGCCCAGTAGCCCCCCATTGCCGAGTATAGGAATGATTTTGCAGCTCTTCCTCGGAATTGGTGGTGTATCCTTGTGAGTGAAAATTCTTCAGAGGGACTTTATAGACAAATAACCGAAGCGAGCAGACAGACAAAATAAACCAAAACAAATATACTTACAGTTATCAGAGTAGTATCTCCAGCCAGCCTCATCAGACATCTCAGACGTTAATTTTCTCTTGTGGGTACGACATTTTTTCATCTTACTGTTAAAACCAAAGAAGATGCACTCTCTTTGACATATTGCAGCACACTTAGCGAGTGAGTGAGAATTGTATTCCCCTAAAAAATCGTTATTTGATTTGTTATCATTAAATTCCAGTTTCGCATTAAAATTCTGAGAAATAATGATAGCTTTGGATAAAGCTATGAAGCTGACAATTAAAGAGATAATACGCTGATTGCTCATTTTCTTCCTTCAATTTTTTTAAATTAACTGCTGCTTTCCTGTGAAATCTGGCGAAATAATCTGTCAGCCGACAAAAATATATATCAGAACATTGATCAATGATGAAAAGGGATTGGTTAAATATTACGTATTCTGTATTTTACGATTGTTTAAGAATTGAATTGATTTTATTGAAGTTAACCAAACTATTAAAAGTGTGTTGTTTATCAAATACCCCATGCCTCTAATTTAAGACCTGATTGCAGAGTTCATAGTGGAATATATTTACATATGGTTTTGACATATAAATGGGAATTTCTATTGTTAATGAATTATACGTAGTCAATATACCGTATAAGCAGAATTTTCAGCGAGGATGGAATTTTGACATTATTAGCGAGGGTGCATAGATCGCTAAAATTGAATACCGCTAAAGAATAATTGTGCTTCTTTGTAATAGCTTCTTTGGTGAGCTTTTTTAAATCGCTGAAATAACATATTCCTTAAAAAAACAATTTTTAAGGACGAATCGCTAAATTTGCGTCTCTCTAAAAAATTTTTATACTGTATTCAAGTGTCGCTTTGAATGACAAAATATTTTTTTCCCATATACAGTCTTTAAAAATTAAATTCTGCTTCACATGGTTTCAAAATAAATCTGCTTTAAACAGGTTATGATTGATATATATGGAAATTCATAAAGACTAATGAAAGACCTGTTCTCCAAAAACTACGTATAAATATAAAAATCTTATCAACGTCACCTTCCGAGTACTTTTTGTTTAATTTTATTTAATAATGTTGCAAATGACCAGTGAGAAGGTGAGAAACTTTGAAAGTTTTATTTTTAAGGACATACGATCTGTGATTGTGAATATTCCAAATCACAGGCTTTTTAAACCTACACGTTTTACTGAAGATAATGCAGCTAAAGGAATTAGTTTTTTTCATCCAATCTTCGATATGTCAATAAATGAATTGGCGTAGTTTATGAAGGTAATATTCTTAATCACTAAAGCGTCCAGTCTTGTATTCCACTATGGTTCATGTAATAGACTACACTGCGGATTTCCTGCAAATATATATAGACCATTACTTCCAAACTTTTCAATTACAAAATACATGGCCTGGATACCGTAAATCTGGAAATTTTTACGTCGATTTTATTTTGCGAATTCTGGTCAAAATGTTGTTGTTTAATTTTTATGTTTCAAAATTTTGCGAATGACCACTGTTTTGTTTACATTTTCTTATTGGTAATTTATTTTTAAGAAAAATATTAATATTTTTGCAAATGCAATGAGCAAATTTGCTAAAAATTTATCTACAGCAAATTTCCAGATTTACGGTATATATTATCTGAAACATAATCCTCCATTATGTTCATGTTTTTCTTTGCTCTATAACTATAGTCCTGCTGAACACGTTATTACAGGTTAGGTAAATATAGTTAATAATGAGGACCTTAGATCACCTTACATCGTTTTTCCCGATCATGACGAGGGGCACACTACGGGTATGACCGGTCGGTATGACAGGTCAGCAGGGGATGCTCACTCCTCCTTGACACCTGATCCAATCTCTGATGTTATGGAGGTCTATTTTTCCTCTACCCTTGTTTTGTATTATTTTATGGACTTTTAATCTTAAAAACTGAACTTATGGAAGTTCCTTGTGTCTTTGAAATATGTATGGGAAACCCATTTGAAATTATCAGTCGATAGATAACGGTATATGTAATATTTTTACTATTTCTTTTGATCTTTTGTAAAAAAGTTGTATTTATAAATGCTGCTCACGCCATGAATAGTAAATGCAAAGTAAATGTTCTTTTTTTTTTCGAAAAAAAAAATGATAAATTGTATTTTCCTCGTAATCAACTGGCTAATGAAGTGAAACCCATGAATCTAATTTATTCTTTCAATCACTGTATAGACCCGTATTTTTTTTATTATACGCTAAATTATAAATTATTAGGAAGCCGTATAAATACATAGAGATATGTCAGGTTGTACGAAAGTTATTACCACAATAGTACTTTTGCATTCAATCATTGTATAGACCATATACTTTGCTAAGTAAGCTATAGGTAACATTATTTAATAGCTTAATTATACCTACACATTCTAAAGAAAGTTGGAGTATATTTTTACTCATGTCCGTCCGTCCGTATGTCCGTTTGTCACACTTTTCTTCTGTAAACTTTTGTTACATTTTACACAGTAGCATAATCATATTTAGGAAGATGGTCGGTTGTGTTATGTAGATGTGCAGTACGAATTCAGAATTGTCTTTTACACCTTGGGGCGCAGTTATGATAAGGCTGTCCGAAGGCTTAAAATGCCTTAAAAAGACATTTTAATTTGAGCTTGATTTTAATTTCAATATGTAAACCTTGTTTGAAATTGCAGTCAACTTGAGATTAAAATTTAATCAGGTATTGTAATAAAGCATTTTGACTGTGTTGATCACGTGACGGAGATTTATGATAATCCCATATGTTGCACAAAAATCGCTTTGGCACAAGTGCAAAACAAAAATATTGTGCAATGTTTGTTACATAGATCAATTCATCGTTATATTTGGTACATAGAAAGAGCTGGGGACAGGTTTAATTTTTACTTGTTAAAAAATATTTTACGAGAAATTCAATTTACCAACACAAAAGCGGATATTTTCCACTCTTTATCGCAATTAATACAAACATGGATAAACTACGAACAATCCCCCCCAACAAAATTCAGTTAGAGCACTTCTCTTGTAGTTCACACAGTATATCTTCAATCTGTTTTTGTTTACAACTTGTGCCAGTCAAATATATAAACACGATTCTTAAATTCTAGCTCTCTCTACGGACGTGTAAGGGGAGCATTTCACACTTCATTTTACACTATTGTTTGAATATGTGCACATCAGACAAACATAAGGAATAGGGATATTATGGTTTCAAATGTCCAACATCATAACAGGAAATTGAAGCTTAAAATCAATCATAACCTTTGAATTAAACAACAAAGCACCAAAATAAATCTTAATGCCATGTACAAATTATTACACTTTCCCCGTCATGTCAGCTCAAGTATGCAGTGACTTGAAGTTTTATTCTATTATGACGTCATATCTAGGTAGTTGAGAGAAGTAACTACAGTCGGAACAGTTCGTTATTTTACGGACCGTCTTGTCCTAGCTGCAGGGTCAAATGAGGGTCAAAAATGACGTTTGATTTTTGTTTGTTTTTTTTTTTATTTTATTATTATTTTTTTTTTTTTTAAAAACTTCCTGGTTTCTTGAACTCCTCCTACATTTTACACAGTGTCCTAGTCATCATTTAGACAAATGGATAGTAGTATCATTAAAGTGTCGAAAATAAGGTTATAATTTTGTATAAAGCAAATAATCCTGATTCCCTGCACTCCTCTTTTATTTTACACAGCTTTATCATTGGTGGGTGATGGTTGGTGTTGTCATGTAGATAAGCAGTCAAAAATTTGGAATTTTCATTTACACCTTGGATTCAAATGGCGTCAAAAATGACGGTTTTTTTTTTATATAATCAAACAGCTTCATGATCCCTAAACTCCTCTTGTATTCTACACAGTAGCTGACATGTAATCATCTTTTTGGAGATTGTTGTTGATGTCATGTAGATTTACGGAGAGATGGGGGTCGGAAAATGATACTTAGAATGGTCTCATCACAGGTAAAATATACATGTTTAAATCTAATGTCGTATCATTTTTCCTCATAATTATCAATTTAGAATTATTGATATTTTTTTTTCAAAAGTACGTAAAACTCCAAGGTCTAAAAGAGATTATCATAACAAGGATTTTAGTGTTGAGTGTGTTTTGCGTTTTGTAGGATCAATAGCTTAGATTTTCTCGTCTGCGGAGCATTGTCAAATAATTTCATAGAAACGTAAACATTGAGAAGGGAATTCAGTATTCTTTCTTATAATTGAGTTGCAAAAAAGTTGCAATTCTACGTTGATATAAAATTAAATGAACGTTGCACTTCAATGTTAAATCAACGTTGAATTTTGGTTGCATACGGAAGTTGACGTAACGATGAGACATTAACGTTGTTTCAAGGTCAAATATCAACATTGAAAAAAGGTGAAAATTGGTTGAAATATGGTTGACATTTTTCGGTTGAACAATTGTTTATATTTTGTTGAAATCACGTTGAATTCGGAATACATTTTGCTTTATAAACAAATACATTTAAATTTCTAATAATCTGTTTTTATTTAAGTTGAGAAATATATAATTTGTAATCCAGTATTATGATACTGAAAGAATTTATTTTCTTTTGTATTTTAAAGACAAACACAACAGGATGTGATGTGGAACATACTTAGTAATAAAATACAGTACACATTACTTTGAAAAGAAAATAAGTATAAATGATCATGCACATACTTTTTACATGCACATGGTCTAATGTCTCGTTTGGTTTGGGTTTGTTTCTACATATCTACTTATGTTTAAAATAAACCCGAACTGTAATTTGAAAATTATCGATTATTTGTTAATTAGACTATCCTTTCGTTCAAAAAGTTAAAATTAGGAGAATATGTAACCCTACAATATGTACGATTACAGGTACTGTTTATCAAGGTTTAATTTTTAGGGGTGTGATAATAATCCCGAAGGTACGATACGGCTTCCCAGATAATATTGTACTCTCTGCATGCACTTCTGTGAACTACAAATATATGACGTCATAATTGAAAATGAAGTCAAGTCACTACATACTTGAGCTGTAATAATTGGGAGAGTGTCATAAACATTACACCTTATTTCAATCGGCAT